TTTTGAGTTTGTATGTGTTCAGTACATCATTAGAAACCTTTTTCCTGAAGAGGTCTTAGTGAGTCTTACATTAGGGAGGAAGGCAGATTGCCTCCAAACATGCAACATCATCTTCATAAACCCATGTAATGACAGTAGGTTTGTGAATCACACAATGACAGGGAAGACAGCCTATTAGATTTGAGAATATGGATAAGGTGATGGTGGGTGTTAGTGGAGTTAATGGATTTTATCCCTGCTTAATCTGATTGAAGGTTGCATTGTTATTTTATTTATTTATCTTGATGTATTAGCTTTCATGTCTTAGTTGTCACTTTTAATTGTTGTTTTAATATCACTTTCTGTGCTATATTTAGCATGGGCAGTATTAAATTTTTATGGGTGTTTTAGGCATTTGAGTTATGAAATTTATTTTATAAATAGGTTGCCATGGTTGTTATTCGATTTTTTTTGTGAATTGAATGATTATTGCCTCCAAATCTCTTCCTCTTTTTTCTCTTTCGCTTTCAATCACTCCTTCACATTTCTCTTCCAATCTATCTCTTCGCTTTCTTTCTTGCTCTCTTACACCCTTCTGTTTATATCACATCCTTGATGCATTACAAGGAATTATGTTTCATTTATTTATAATATTTTAGAGATTATTTTAATTTATTAGGGTTTTATTTATTTATTTTGAAATTATTAGAATAAAGTATAGTTTAGGATAATCTTTTGATTTGAATTTGATTAAGGATTGGATTTGATTTCAGTATTTTATATTTTGTAACTCTATTTCTAAAATAGTGATGAGTTGCTTGCATCTGAGTTGTTGTCCCACTCTTAATTCCTAATTCCCCTTTTTGTTTCCTTATGTCTCTGTTAATTGGTATCAAAGCCCAGTGAATCCTCATTTGTTGTTGCTTTATGCAAGCATTGATCCCGATTATCACAATCAATATTGCAATCTTCATTTCTAGATTGTGATCTCTACACATGATCTTTTTCTTGATTGTGATTGTTACAAGTGAATGTTGTTCCTCTATTTGTTCAACATTGATGTCTCTTGTTATTTCACTTTTTTCACTAGCCTTGTCTTTGTGCTCATTGCATCTAACCTCATCAGTCAATTACCTTGGTCAAGTATTCAATCACATCCCAACAGTGTTGTTTAAGCATTGCATCCTAATTACAATCCTTGTAACTCATCATGATATGCGCTTGCAAATTATTTTGCATGCATCTTGTTCATGCAATCTACAATGCTCTATCACATGCAACACACGAGTTAAACTGCACATTCTCTCCTACTTGTGCTCTTTCCTTCCCGTCCACCTGTTTGCATCGTTTGACTAACCAATCAATACAACAATGCTCTTAACAACATAAATTGTTTATTAACTATGAATTCATTAACAATGCTCTTAACCATAAATTAACTATACGATTGTAAAAACTTGAAGATTTAGATGAAATTAGACTTTAAGCCCATCAAAATTTAGAAATTAATAAAGCACGAATGACTAAGGCTCACAATCGAATGGTCCGTCCTATGAGCTTTTAAGAAGGCAAACTTGCACTAGTTCGTAAAAGGCCTATAATTCCCCACCGTCACATCAATGGTAAATTTTATCCAATATGACCTTCATTATCGAAAAATGTATATGGAGGAGCCTACCAACTTATAGACATTTATGGTCAAAGGCTTATGACACCAATTAATATCCAATATCTAAAGAAATATCATAACCTCTCAATTGACAAGATGTTATGTTGAAAATTTCTCTTGCAATACAGGAGGCAATTTATATATATATATATATATATATATTTATATATATATATATATATAAAGAAGATAATTTTTATATATTCTAGAAGACAACCTATATGTCATCCTGTAAAGCAAGAGGCATTAATCATTTATCCCTGTAAAATACGAGATAAATTTTTGTAATCTTGCAAAAAAAGGTGTAATTCCACATATACTCATTTGCAAAGTAAAAGGAAATTATGTGTGAAAGTGCTTACTAGCTAAATGTCCTAGCTATGATAGTTCAATACTTTATGCTCACAAACCTAAGGGTCGAGTTATTAAAAAGACTAAAAGTCTAAAAACTTAATTCAAAATTATAAATAAATACATGTATACATACCAGAGAGGTGGTAGAGAGGTTGTCAAAGTCTGACTGAATGTTGTTAATCTGTTGTCCGACTCTGAATAAAAGGTCATCCAACATCGCTCGTTACCCTTGTGCAAACTCCAGCTGATGATGTGTCAAGTCAAACTCCTAAGTGGAAAAAGACAATCTCTGCTCTAAATGCTCAACCTCGGCAGCTATCCAAGAGAAGTCATCCTCAGTATGAGTGACTGCTGCTCTAATCTCCTAACGCCTTGCCATAAGAGCTTGCTCCCTCTGTCTCAAAGCTCTAAGCTCAGCTGATATAGTTTGAAGCTCAATCTGCTCTTCAAAGATGCTTACAATGCTGAAAGGTCTATAAACTGAAATTCAGATCAAGGAGAGCTCTCCTCATCCTATCCCAGACAGCTCTAGCTTCAATCTCTAAATCAGTAAGGACTATGTAAGATAGCTCCTGAGAAGTGAAGTGCAGCTAAGACTACCCAAATGTAATAGTACGGAAGAGGAACTCCCATGTCTACAAAATACTGTCACGAGGCCATAGGATGTAGTGGGGTTTCAGAGCAAACTGGCCTTTGTGTGGAAGCTGAGCTTAGAGCAAACTGGCCTTTGTGTGGAAGCTGAGCTAAGACTACCCAAGTATGCAGAGTGTTAAGGTCCACTCTCAACAGTAAAGCTCATAGTGCAGCAACAACATATTGCACTCTTATTGACCACCGCTGACTAAAAGAGTGGCAAACCAGGAACACTGATCTCGACTCGAAATATAAAAGCTCCAGACCTAGAACAGGAAGGAGGGAGGAGCTATCATTAAGAAAAAGAATATATATATATATATATATATATACACTAATGCAAATAAAATAATACATAAGAAATGGAAGTCCTCTGTAAAAGCTACATATCGATAGTCACCTAGGTGAGAATTAACACTCGGTGAGAATCCTCTGATGAACAACTTGAGATCACCTGAGTCGAGGAAGGATAGGTAATCAATTCTGTCACAATATCATTAGCATCGCTCCCAGGTAGTAACTGGGTAGAGCCACTATGAGTAAGCTGAGCATCTTACAAAAATACTCCTGACGAGTCACCGACAATCACCCAAGTAGAATATGAAAGGGTCGGAGACGAAGTTATCATCTCCACACCAAGTCCACTAGCATCGCCAGTAGTGCTATTTACAAACTGAAGAGATGCTGGCCAATCGCCCGCATATATATGAAAGAGATGTGAAGAGAGAGAGAAATAATAATAAATGAATGCCAATGAATAAATAGGGCATATAAGGAATATTTTCCTCCAATATCACCAAAAATAGTAGTGGTGACAGGTGGATGCTCAGTGCCTGAATGATGTCCCATATCCACGTCACTTGATGACGGCATATATGAAGAGCTACCCGTACCCTGTGCTGGACTCAAACTGGTATAACGAGCTGACAAAACGGGTGTAAATCTACTAGGTTGTAGCGCAGGAAAATACTTACCATCTTAGTGAAAGTAAGCCAAATTACTCTTATTCAATCAATTAATGATAAAAATGAATAACATGCATTAATACCTTCATCACTGGGAGGGAACTTATATGGGCCTGAAAGGGTATGTGAAGTGTTCACGCCAGCTTGCTCCAAGATGGGAGAGCCTGGTAAATTAACAGGTGCAAGTCTAGGAGCTGAAAATGAAGCAGAGAAGATATATTAAAAATATAGAGTTGTAATTTAATATATAATGCTCAAATGAGAGAAATGTATAACCTGTCTGGTCGTATGACATTCTGCTCCTTGGTCGCCCCCTGTCGAAAGAAGGGGAAACAAGTCTACGTCCATGCGGTGCTGCAGTTTTGTCACACTGCATATATATGCGCTTGGAAGAAAAATGATAAATGAAAATAATAACACAAATATAGGTACTAGGGTCACCACGTTTTGCAGAAGGCTCATAACTCTTCCTCCTACTACAAACTTTAGAGGACTCTGCATGTGCTATAGCATAGTCTCTCAATTCTGAAGAATATATCAGTCATCTAGATCCCCTGATCCTCCTACTATATCTTCCAATGCCTAACTTGAAGAAAGAGGAAAATGTATGCCGGATCCAAGACAGCCGTAAGTGTGCAATCCCTGTAGTAGCATCTATAGGAGCTATGCAGAAACGAGAGCCTGTCCCAGTATGAAGGAGAAAGGCCCAAACCGTTGAGGCTACCTCGAGATTAGTAGAGGACGGAAGCTCCAAGTGTCGAACATCTGACACTCTAGGAAGAACTGGAAGCCCGTCCAAAGGAGTAGCATGTACGAACCTGAACTATTGTGCTGCTTTGTAATTGGCTGTTTTATAAATATCCACATGGTGCTATCCACATCTAATAATTTCTCTATAACAAGTGCTAGTTTAGCAACCCTCGAGTTTCCTTTTTCGGCGCATGAAAGGATGTGGTAGATTGACCATGTTTTTTGTCATGGCCTTACACTAATATCTTTACACAGGCATGGAGAAAAATATATCTCTTTCATCTGGCGATTAGTGGCTGCTTTGCCATGTCCTCAAGGAGCCCTCGCACTCCTTAAGATTCAGATAATATCTTCTTTATCGGTTCAAGAGTTTTCCTATTTGAAATTTCCAAAAATAGTTTCTACACCCACTAGTCTCCCGAGTCAGTTCACGTTTAGCTTTGTTAATTATTTTATGCTAGCCATAGGAGGCGCAGTCTTCAGAGGCACTTCCCGGTGTGATGGTCAAATTTCATAAAAAATCATTGATCAAACATAGAAATTCTTGGTAGAGTTTTGCAGTTAAACCTATATTCTTAGTACTGACAAGAAGAGATGATCATCTGCATCTTGTAAACTTCTACATTAAATGTGTAAAAAAAATGCTTCAGGAACGTGAACTAGGAAGAAGATCAAGTCGCAATGGCAGTGGCAACAGCAGTAATGGAGGAGTTTCTAATACCATGCTAACTCACCTGGGACTAACTAGAAATGACCAGCTTCCCTGCGCCGTAGAACAGGCAAGAAAAAGGCTTTTAGAAAGACTTCAAAGCGTTTCGCTTACAGATAACAGGTATCTTCCCAATCTCCAAAATATATAATCACTTCAATAAACCTATAATTCAAGAATTGCAAGCTGACTATTTACTATATCTGCACAGGCAAAGATCCCCAAATGATGAATCAGCACTTGTTGATGGTTTTGATATTAATAATGCAAACCTGAGTCCTAACTCGAGCGTTCTGAATAGCGAATTAGCCATATCAAACAAGAAGAAAATTCCAGCACTTCGTTGGGACGATTTCTGTGCCATGAAACGAGAAACTTTCAGGAGCTCTGAAGAAAAACATGAAGATGGAGTAATGGCAGAACTGACTGAATGTTGTATATGTTTGGAAGGATTTAAGGATGGAGATTGGCTTATCAAATTATGCTGCAGTCATAAGTTCCACCCTTGTTGCTTGGAGCCATGGCTTCGGTCCTCTGGTGATTGCCCCTTATGTAGGGCAGATGTGATCTGCTGATAATGGAAGCTTGACGCTCAATATATAAAAAACTAGTTTTTGTACTTAGTTTCGTTTGGGACGACTTTCTTACTGCTCCTTAAAGCGACTTTTTAGTATACTAGAAAAATTATGCTGCAGTCATAAGGGTGTGCTGCTGCTTGATTTTCACAGTTACAGAGTGTTCTTTGTGTTGAAATAGAAATGAAGAAGATGAGACATTTGGAGGTGGGAGAAACCTTATTGTAACTGATAGTACACAGTCTCAAGTTTTTATTTTGATAGTGTCTTCACCGTACAACTGATCAAAGAAGAATTAATGTGAAGAGTTTGATAGTGTTCTTTCCTCTAACTTGAATGCCAGTCTCTACTATGTTTTAACATTTCATTGAATGCTTATTTCTCAAAACCAGCTCCTTGATTATCACTTTTTTTCAGGCTTCTTCTTGACAAAAAGATAATTCTAGAAATGTTTTATGATTTTATTATCCATTTGATGATCTAATGGATGGCTATGATCTAGCATAAAGTCATAGTTCGCCCCTCTAAAACCATCATGGCCTTAAATCATATCCTACTAAGAGTTTTCTGTCTTTAAAGTTTGTATGTAACTTATCAAATAATAATCAATTTAGGTTACAATATCACAAAATAAAATAATTATGTTCCTCTGTTCGGTTTGCACACCTGTATCATCATTGGAATTTTGTTGCCTAGTACTGGCTGCTGTTAGTCTTCATTATCATTTATTTTACATTTTGTTCATTTTATTATAAGTTAAATAAAAAAATCTTATTCGTTTTTTTTACTCTCATTCAAATAATTTCAAATATTTAAAACATATATGTTTTTTACACTATAAATATTTAAAAAAATGCAATTAATTCTTTTTATGTTATATTTATTTTATTTTGGTTCTAACTAAACAAATCATTTCATCAAAACACAACTCCAATGGATGCATTGCTGGAGAAATTATTCTGTGCGGAGATCGGATGCAGAACATTATTCGAAGATCAATCAGAATATGCCACATCAATGATACGAGAGATTATTGGGTCCAGACACTGGACACAGTTTATGTTCGGTACTTCACAATACCAAACCGTACTGAGCTCGATGTTGTGAAGTACTGTGTACCGAGCAGTATTGAGTTCAATACTGAGCAGTACCGAGCTCGATATTGTGAAGTACTGTGTATCGAGCAGTATTGAGTTCAGTACTGAGCAGTATCGAGCTCGATACTGTTTGGTACTACTCAGTACCGAGTAGGAGGAAAATCGAGCTCATTGGAGCCTCGATATCGAGCAAATTGTTGACATAGCGTATTCTAATTGATCTCCAGATGATATTTTGGCGTCAGCACAAAATAATTTTTCGCATTTTATTGCCACCATTGGCTGATTGGAGGGGTACCAGGCCCATCGGGCCTGCACGGCCCAAGCCGCTAACCGCTTCATCACTCAGCGGGCTCCCCTTCGTCAACTCTTTCTATCCTTCAAATTACACGTGCCCTCCCTTGCATAGAACCTGACGAGATTGAGACAGAGAGAGAAAGATGAGTGAAGAACAGCAACAGGGGAAGAAGCAGATGGATGCGAAGGGAAAGGAGGAGCTTCCGCTGGAGAGCAGTCCGTACGTGAACTATTCGGATCTGGAAGACTACAAGCAGAAGGGTTACGGAACTCAAGGCCATCTCGAGCCCGTCGAAAACTCTCGCACCGGCGGCGCCACCGAGGGACCGACCCTCTCCGGGAGCGACCTGTCTCGTGCTCAGGCCGAAGCCGTTGAAAACAAGAATCGCCATGGCCCCGTCTAGTACTTATACTCTTTCTCATGATTGGTGCAATAAGTCTTTTATAATTTCCGTTTTAGTGGATTTTTTGTGGGGTCAAGCTTATGAACTTGTGTGATTTGGTATATTCCTTTTTATTTGCTGCTTTTGAACTTGTAATAACGCACATGCAATTTGGGCACTAATTTCGTGTTTCATGACATGTGAATGGATTTAGGGTTATATGAATTTTCGGGTAGAAATAGTAATTTTCTAGGTAGGGGCTGTACAGATACAAGTAGGATTTCTTAAATCTTGTAAAAGTAGTTTTAGTAAATCCTAAGGGGCTGTTTGGTAGCAGGATTTAGGCCGGATTTGAGGCGGATTTGAGAGAAATCCAGCCAAACGGCCTAAAATGCAAAACCAAATCTCACGGCAAATGAAAGCCATAGGAAAATCTGGCCTTTTCGTGCTAAATCCTGGATTTCCGAAAGCCTATTTTTTGACGGATTTATGAAATCCGTTGGCTCGAGAGGAAGAGTCTGCTCGTTAAATCCGTTCTATTGCCAAACAGTCACACAGGATTTAATAGAATTTATCATAAATGTTACCGAACAATTTTGTGGATTTAGGCTCCTCAGTAATTCTGAAATTCATAGTTAGCATATTTATGAAATCCTACTTAAATCAAATCATGGGTGCTACCAAACAGCCCCTGAATGTCTTAAATCATAAAAACTGTTTGATATGATAGATGTTAAGTTTGACTAAATCATAATAAACTGTTTGGTAGACATTTTCAACATTTAGTATTTAAATGAAGAAGAAGAAAAGGCACAATAATGATAAGTGATGTAAATCTTTTAAATCTTATTTACCCTAAGATTTACTAAATCTGACATTTAGTATAAAATTAATGGAAAATGATATTAAGAAGTTTCTAGGATTTATATGGCTTAAAAATTGTTCACCAAGATATAGTCGAGATTTTGCAGCCAAAAAATTTACTTGGCTACCTGCAGATATAGAACATGTTTTAGAAAATGATGATTTTATTTTTTCTTCTTTTGCTTGTAATTACATTTGAGAGATTTTGGAAGTTCATATAGAATTTAAATCAATATAAAAATTTTAACCATATCCAACTAAATGACACAAATTAATAAATTCTTTGCTTTTACTAAGCATTTTATATAATTTGTTTATGGGCGTGTAAGTAGAGGCGGAGCCTTAAATTTTTCTTAGTGGGGATATAAATTGATAAATTAAAAAATATTCTTAATATTTTTCACCAAGGCCTAAACCCTAAACATAAGCAGTTTTAAATGTTTTTGTTAGAGTTTTAATATGAAAATGATGAACTATGTGCTAATAAAAAACTTACAAATAAAAACATCTACTATAATTTCTCCCCCAAATCTTCATACTTTCTCTCGACTCACCTTCCACACATTAGGAATATCTTAGTCATATTTGAAACAAATATTTTTTTTTTTCGTGAAATATAATTAAAATTCTTCAATTAAAGTACTCCATCTAACATCGCTCTTTTGAAGCCTTGACTATAAAACTTTAACAAAATTCATGTTATTTATGTCTTTTTCCTTCTTTTGTAAAACTTAAGTTAGCTTCTTCCATTTCAACCATCCAATTTGAATTCTACTAATGATATGTGCATCTATTTCACTATCGTTTTGATATTATATAAACAAATTTATATCTAATCATGTAAATTGATTGATTTATATATATTTTTCTTTGTATATATATTCATGTATTTATGTCATCAATTTATATATTTGTATGTTGAGAAATTTATGTTACATAATATTTTGAATCCTATTGACATCTCTCTCTTATTTCCTCATTAAATGAGCTGATCAAATATCTTTCTAAATCTCTTTTTTTGTCATCTCTTTTATCTTCATAAGCAGCTTTTCTTTCCTAGTTATAAATCCATTAGCCTGTTAATGAGGAAAAGGACAAAAAAGCTTTAATATTTTGTTTACAACTCAAGCAATCTTCTCGATTTTTCCATGGCAATTCACGCACATCTCCTTGGCTGGTCTTCACGCGAGCCTCCTTAAGACCCCCTTGTAAACCCAGGAGCCTTCTATTCACGCCTGGGAATCGGGTGAATAGCAGTGGGCTTTAATCAGTGGCTGTGTGAAGAAGGGTATTCGATAATTCAGAAGACAAACCCTCGGGTGAATGATTGCTGACTTTGGGCCTGTTTGGACAGTTTTTTTGTCTATTTTATTTTTCAGATAATTACATTTTTATTTGACTATTATTTTTTTTGCTGATCTTTTGCTGCTTTTCAGAAATTATTGTCGTGGGATGTTTTTTGCAAGCATATCTATTAATGTGTGAGAGTTGTAAAAAATTTATTGTTTAATTTTTCAAAAAGAATATAACACATATATCAACTTTTTTAAAAATTATGTTTTCTATCATAGTTTTACAATTATCTTTATAAAAAGATGTAGCCGTCCCAAATAAATCATTAATCTATTAGGATATTAGTGAAAAGGAATATTATTATTATAAATTTTGAGTGGGCCATTTATACATCCTGAGATTTGTCAAAGGATGAGTTATCTTTGGATTCCATGAAGTTAGGAAAATATTGAAACTAGTCTGCTTTTATACAGGATATAAGCTATCAGTCTTAAATCTCAGGATGTATGATGTAGGTGCAGACGATTTATCATACAATTTTTTGAATCGTGGAGATGATGCAATAAATTATGGGGCTTAGTTTTCGTTCTTTTATGAGCTAGAATTTATACTTTTGCTTGTGTTAGTCTAGATTATTGTATATTAAAAATTGGATTTGTATCCATCCGGAATAATTTGGAGCAAAAGAGCAAAAAATACTTGCACAAAAGAAGAATAATTATACTCACCTAATAATTACCCCCAAGGTGGTGGAACAATCTTAATTTTAAGTAGGATTGTAAATGAATTGAGTTAAGCCGAGTGCTATTAGGGTCTTCCAACTAGTGACAACAATTGAAAAGACGAAATTTTGAGCTTGCCAGTGGTCCTAGTGAGAATATAGAGAGATAGGGAAGATGAACAAAATGAAAAATTATATTAGTTTTTGCGTAAGAACTTTTCTCCTCCTCACAACCATCCTTTATACACCTTTTTCACCGCCTTTTCATTTACATTCACTTAGCTTAAGGCAGTTGCACTGCCTTTCAAATAAAATTCTAACCACCTTAAAATGACTTTTTATTTACTTTTGTAATATATCTCTTTTTGGCTAATGTGGAAGCCACAGTGCCATGTTGGAGCTCTCCTCCCCCTTACCTTCAACAGTTGTTCTTATTCATTACCAGTTGTTTTTCTATCATTCTTTTCCTTGTCTTGGCTGTTAATGTTCGAATGATCTTGCCCTCAAGGTCGATGATATATAATTTGTTTGGTAGGTTTGAATTTTCCACACAAGTGGGGTTTTTTAGCTATAATTCATTCCATTAGACAGCAGTTTGCATTTCCTATTGTTAGACTCTGGGTATTTTTCGTAGAAAGAATGGTGATGGGTTGCGCTAGTGCTTGATTTGTTTATGTGTTTGTGGTAGCTATCCCGGCTGCCTTTCGAGACATTGCTAGTAAGCTTTAAGGGGGGAGATATGAAAACTGAAGCTATGATTGATAATTTAAATCTGTGTGAAACCAGTAGGTAGAAGCCGAATGACGTCTTTTCAAGAAAATTAAACATTCTACAAAGCAACTATAACTCTGACTGCTCCGAACATAAGAGTAATGACCACTTGTTGGAGTAGAATGACCTTGATGAATGTATGTCATTCTGCTTGGATTGCGACCTCGGAAGGAAGCAAGTGCAAGTTGCCGTTTAGTAGAATCAGTGATGTGAGCTCCATGCAGTGCTTCAACAGCCAAATTAATTTCTTCACTACACAGAATGGAGTATAAATCATTGAGATGCAGGGGCTGTAACTTAGTTCAAATGACAGTTTTAAAGGCATTATAGGATGGAGGTAGACCATTTAGTGTGTAAATAATTATATCTTCTGGATCAATAGAACTCTCAACAACATTAATGGTATCTACTTTCGCTTTTATCTAAGATAAATATTGGGTCATTTTAATATCTTTCGTGGTGAAATGATAAAAATTATTCTTAAGTTGAAGGATTCGAGAACAATTTGTAGACTACAATCTTTTATCTATGGTTAACCACACTTCATGACAAGTATCAAGATTTAAAACATAAGGTAGGAGAGATGAAGAAATATAGAGTCTAATGCAACTGTTAAATTTTAATCAATGAGCATCCATTGATTATAGTTGGGATTTGGAGAAGGTAAACCATGTGAACTGAACTTATATTTAATAGGTGGAGAAAAGTTTCCTTCAAAACCATTTTCTTTGAATACGTTGAGAACTTGAGATCTCCAAGTAGAATGATGATGGGGTATGAATAATATTTTTAATATTATTTATAAGAAATTTGAGCTAGTGGGAATCTGAATGTCTGACAGTTCAGAAGTTGTTTTAGCCATGAAGGAGTTGTAGTAGCCGACATTGTCAAAGAAAGCAGATAGAGAAAAGTGCTCTTAGGGAAGTAGGATATTGTTGTGGAGCATCAGCTTTGATATCATGATAAATTGCTTCTACCTGTATGAATATATCAAAAGTTACTCAGTAAAAGCTCACTAAAATGGGCTAGAGATATATACTAAACTCAAATTTATTGAAAATAAATGTAGAGTAGAGATCATTTACAATGATCAAAATAATTTTTGAAACAGGAGCGACGGACGAAGATGTCCAAAAAGATCTTCTCTCTCCTCTCTCTCTCTCTCACACACATTTTCTCTCCCCCCTTTTTTCCTTTCTTCCCTCACAAGAAAATGAAATGAGGGAGGGGAGGCTCAGGTGGTGAGAGATATTTATATTAAATATATAAAAATATTATTTTGTGTTTGGTGTCTGGCGCTAGAGACCACAACACCGCGGCGCTGCATGCTGAATTCAAAGTTACTATAGAATAGAGAAGATGACACTGCTGGGCTCTCCATCTCAGCGTCTCTGCGCCGTAATGCAGATTTTTATATTTTCAAATAAATTTATTTTATGAAATTTTGAGTTATTACATTAATAACATGTGAATTTGTCATGCAAATTCAACCCATAACTTTGGCAACAACTTCAAAGATCTTTATCAATTAAACTGGTTGTCACATATATTTACAATGTATTATAAGTAAAACAAATATCAACATAGCATTATATTAGAATTATATTACAAAATATGAAATAAAAAATATGAATTATTTTATGATGATTTATAGTGTGCTAGTGCTCATAATCACTTATGAAAAATGAAAATATGTGCATTTACAAGCTAACATATTAATGTGTTGTTAAAACAAACATATTCATTAATATCTTATATATATAATCTTTTATCATAATATCTTTTATATGTTATAAGTCTCCCAAGTTACCTTGAACAAGAGGAAGGTTTTCATCCTGTTAGCAGAGTTCAAAGACCCCCAAGTGAGTCATCACTCTATGCTAGAGAGTCCATGTTACACAAGCATGCATATTTTATATTTGTTCTAAGAAAGTGTTATAGCATATCTTCTTAGAGCTCAATGATCAAGCTTATTTCATATCAACTTATTATGATTTACATGGATATGATTTATTTCACATCAACTAAGATTAGATATGCATGGAACAAACTATATCATCACATGAAATATTTAAAGAGATTGGGATTGATGCATTAATTAGTATGGTAAAATTATCTATGCAACATACAAGATTTCAATATAAGCATAAATACATCTACTAATGTGTAAGACAATTTGAATATAAAAGGTATAATTAATGATCTACTAAATATTCAAGTAATCCACCATAAACGTCAATTATAGCACCCTCTAAAAATAAAAGTAGCAAAATTTTATGTTAGTATATCTTGATGCAATTTTTATATGGATGATGAGACAAAATATGTAATAGAAATGTCCCCCTCAAGCTTAAGGGAAAATTCTATATGATGGTGATGAGACCTACAATGCTTTATGGTGCAGAATGTTGGCCATTAAAATAGAAGCATAATACTAAGTTAAGTGTTGCAGAGATGAGGATGCTCAGGTCGATGAGTGGCTTTACCCTTAGAGATAGGATACAAAATGAGCATATACGTGAAAAGGTTGGAGTAGCTCCAGTGGAAGATAAGATTAGAGAGAGTCGCCTAAGATGATTTGGTCACATAAAACGAAGGCCTTCTGATGACCTGGATAGAAAAGTAGAGGTATTAGATTTGACTTATATTAAGAAAGGTAGAAGTATACCTAAAAAGACTTGGTTAAAAAATGTTAGAAATGATCTTTCTTTATTATATTTAAATGAGAATTTAACTTTTAATAGGACACAGTGGATAAATAGGATTCATGTAGCCGACCCCACAGTGGGACAAAGGCTTGATTTTTTTTTAAATTATTATTATTATTATTATTATTATTATTATTTTGACAAAGGCTTGATGTTGTTGTTGTTGTATGGTAAGATAAAATATCCAATATTTTAAGACATGCTTAAAGTTGGAAGACATTTAAAGCAAAAATAAAAAAGGACACTATTGATTAAATGTCTTAAATAAAATATATATCTATCTTCGAACTTTGAGTATTTGTCTTATGGCTCTGAATATTTTGTCCTACCATTTTGATGTGAATTATATCAGTATACAGGATATTATTTTTATTCAATACAAGTTATCACCTTGAAGTATTAACATTCAAATTCTAAAGAAAAACCATCAAACAAGCCCTAACGAAAAAAGCCTATATGTAAATAAAGAGCAATTATTATTACTGTAATAATTATAACATATAACTGAAATTAGAATCATAATCTAACACAAATGATCTATTCACAAATTAACCTAATCATTTATAGATTAACACAAGATATTTAATTGGATCAAACTACATGACAATACCCATTTTACTTAAGTTGTACGAAGCTGAAGATCTCAAAAGTGGAGATGCAAACAATTTTAATGAATAGAATATTCAACCTAGAAACTATATTGAGGTCAAGGGAAATAAGGAACTCGACTTGAGTTTTGATAAATTTTTAAATTGAAGTCAAAATTAAGAGAGTAAGAAGATGATGAGGTTTTGAAAAGATGTTAAAAAATAAAAATAGTGGCTCATTTCAAGATCATAAAATTTCTAAATGAAGGCTATCATGAAAAGTCTATAATGAAGACTATAAATATTTTTAGTGGTGATTAATTCTTCATATTAGGAAATGAAATATTTTCTATATAAACCTGTATAGTCCTCATTCATAAAACATCCCACTAATAACTCGTCAAGCTTGTAATAGGTTCTACATATGTGTGAAGATTCTATGAAATGTTAGTTCTTCTTTCTAGTTCGTAGTGAGTTATTGCCTCTCTTGGGTGTGGATTAGTTGTCAAATCTCATTATACTCATTTGTGTTCTTGTTTGTATCTTATACCTTTTTTTTCCTTCATAAATTTTGGAGCATCCACATAGCACCAGGATTCCTAACAATTGATGACAATAATTAACTTAATGAAAACTTGAGATTGTTTCGAGGTTGCAAGTGAGGGAGATATAAGAAGGATGACAATGATGATGGATAGAAGATGGATGAAGAAGAAAGCAATGGTAACTAGGGCAATACAATGACTACCCAAAGAATGCGATGAGAAGAGTACAATGATGAGAAGACTACAATTGCATGAAAATTGCCATGGCTCTCAGTGGTGAAGGAAAAATTTGTAAAGGGTAGCAGTGTAACTAACTCTAACTTCGATCTCCTATTTATTGCTACTAGAGACGGCCAGATGAGTAGGGCGATTGAGTTAGGTTAGGCTGAGTGCATGAAGTCAATTTGGGTTTGGTTTAGAACATCAATTAGGATTTATGCCAGCTTACAAAATCTTAAGAATTAAATTCTAAGATGCGTGTTCTTTTGTATTAGAGTTACAACATCCAATGGTTTGGGTAAATTTGTAATCACAGGTTGGATTCAAGTAGTTTAGTTCCAGTGCAATTACATTGTTGATAGTATCCTGCATTACTTTGTATGCTCTACTCCTGCTCGTCAGCTACACTTCATAGAAAACTATAGTTTAGGGTCTCATGCGCAAATCATATAGGTTAGATTTCAAATGATGCCGAAGCTCCGCCGAAGCTCCTCCGACGATCACCGAATACCTGCAATGGATGAAAAACAGAGGAAAACAACAATTGCAATAGCAAACTTTCTATAATATTCTTCAATGCTTCTCCTTCCGTCACACAACTATTTCTATCTTCTTGGCTTTACTACTAACAGCCCTACACATGGAAAGTACTGAAACTAAAGAAAGAGTATAGTGGAGCACATGCCCACTAACGAACTAAGAAGTAAATAGCATAACAAATATTAATAAAGAAAAGGGTAATTAGTTAGGACAACACTCATCTGGGCTGCACTCAAGGTTAGTATGAGTATGCTCTGCATCATTCGCCCCCGCTTTCAATAGAATCTGTGTCAACAAATTCAAAACTGGCATTACCGTCATCAGGGGGAGTATAAGAGTAAATATCAGCAACATTGAATTCTGTCTCCAGCTTTGTTAAAATGGCCACCCTTCGGCTCAGTGCATCTGCCACACGGTTTTGAGTACCGTTCTTGTGTTTCAGCACAAAAGTGAATTTCTGCAAAAAGATAATCCACCGGGCATGCATCCTATTGATATTTTTTTGAGAATTAATGTATTGCAATGCTTTATGATCACTGTTCAAAACAAAATCTTGATGCAATAAATAATGCTCCCATTGCTTTAATGCGCGGATTACAGCATATAACTCCTGCTCGTATACTGTCCATCGTTGCCATGTTGGACTCAGTTTCTCACTGAAAAATTCCACAGGCTTATTGTCCTGAGACAGAACTGCCCCAATCCCCACAGTGGAAGCATCAGTGTCGACCATGAAAGGCTTGTCGAAATCTGGTAGTGCCAACACCGGAGCAGTAGATAACGCTGCTTTAATGGCGTCGAAGCTCTTCTGTTGCTCTTCCGACCATGAGAACTGGGATTGCTTCAAGACATCAGTGATTGGTGCCATCACAATACTGAATCCGTGAATAAAGCGGCAGTAGAAATTCGCCAATCCGTGAAAACTGCGGATGTCAAAAAGAGATCGCGGCGTTGGCCATTCCACGATGGCAGTCACTTTGCGGGGATCCACCATAATTCTCGTAGCTGAAATAAGGAATCCTAGGAAAGCCACCTGTGTCAAAGCAAACTCACATTTGATAAGGTTGAGATATAGCTTGTTCTGTTTCAGAATTTCAAATATTGCAGTTAAATGTTTGATATGATGTTCCACCGAAGAACTATATACTAATATGTCGTCGAAATACACAACGCAACAATGATTCAGAACCGGCCTCAGCATGTCATTCATTAGATGCATGAAAGTGGCAGGAGCATTGCACAACCCAAATGGCATTACTTTCCATTCATACAAGCCCTGACGCGTCTTGAAAGCGGTCTTCCATTCGTCACCGGGACGAATTCTAATTTGATGATACCCGCTCCATAAATCAAGTTTAGAAAATACTTGAGCTCCCGACAGCTTGTCGTTCATATCCTCCATTCTCGGCATAGGAAACCTGAATTTAACTGTAATTTTGTTTATGGATCGGCTATCCATACACATCCTCCAGCTACCATCTTTCTTGGGCACCAGCAAAGTCGGCACTGCGCACGGCCTAAGACTTGGCTGAATCAGCTGCTTGTCTAACATTTCATCTACGATCTGCTGCAGCACTTTATGCTTATTCGGACTCATTTTGTAATGAGGCAAATTCGGCAGATTGGATCCAAGAACAAGATCTATTTGATGCTAAATTGTTCTCATTGGCGGCAGACCGCTTGGCAACTCCGGTGGAGCAATTTCAGCAAATTGCTCTAAAAGGGCATTAACGCAATCAGGGATGGTAGTTCCCTCAGGTGGGTTATTTTGCTCTTTGACAATCAGTGCCATTAAATGTGAAGACTCCTTCCAATCATTTAACAATACCTTCCCAGTTATAGCCACTAGCGACGCCTTAGAATTAGCGTTGTGAGCCTCCTGATCAGGATTTCGGGGCAGCAATCTTAGTCGTTTACCCTTCCAGTCAAAGGAATATGTGTTAGCTCGACCATCAAAGATTGCCCCAACATCGTATTTCCATGGTCTTCCAAGGATCAAATGACATACATCCATGTCTACCACATCACAAAGAACTTCGCTCGCATAATGCTTGCCGATGGAGAAAGCGAATTTGCACATGTCCGTCACTGCCATTTCGATTCCCTTTTTAACCCAACTTATTTTATACGGATTAGGACTTTTGGATGTTTTTAATTGTAAAGATTGCACCACCGCAAGGGAAATGACATTTTCCGTGCACCCCGTATCTATTAATACTTCACATAGTTTAACCATAATGGTGCATTTTGTTTTGAAGAGAGCATTTCTTTGAGTCTTGGTAGGACGCCGAGGAGCTAAGAGCAGTCGCCGAAGCACACAAAGAATGGGTTCTCCCTCATCTCCGACCACATCTTCAGGTCTTTCTTCAACTGTTTCGAAATCATCTTCTTCTCCTTCCTCATTTTCCCCTTCAGTAATTGCAGTTGTGCCCGCGTGGGGCACTCATTGGATTTGTGGCCTTGCTGAAAATATCGGAAGCATTTAAACGTATCCGGCTTAGCATACGGGTTGTCTTTCACTGGAGCTTTGCCCTTCAAATTGCCCCTTGGCTCAAATGCTTTCGGCACAGGTGTTGGAGGCGGTCCAGCAGTAGGAGAAGCGGCAATTGGCTTAGTGAAACTAGTAGGTGGGTGTTGAGTAGAATTCTTAATCGCTTCAGCGGCTGGTTCCCAATTTCTTCTGTTCTGCCGGTTGAGATGATGCCTTTTTTACTGTAATTCCACCTTCAGAGCATAGTTTACAGCTTGGGATAATGACCAAACTGCATTTAGCTCTAGTTTTTCTTGAATAGAATCCTTCAACCCGCTAACCTACCTCGCAACCAATTGGTTTTCGGATTCGTTGAGGTTGTTCCGGGCACTTAACCGATAAAATTCTTCGGTATATTCATTCACCGATTTGCTTCCTTGCGAGCAATGTTGGTACTGCACGTACAACATCTGCTCATAATCGGTTGGTAGAAAATGCCCCCGGAGTAATTGTTTCATGCGAAACCAGCTCCGAACTGCTCCCTTGCCGTCTCGCCGTCGGGATTGCAGGACTTGTTGCCACCACGCGCTGGCGCCCCCTTTCAATCTATAGACAACGTATTTCACTTGCTTTTCTGGACTAATATCCATGTATTCAAAGAAAGATTCGACTGATCTTTCCCAATCGAGATAGTCCTTGATATGCAGTCTCCCATCGAAGAAGGGTATGTCTAATTTAATTCGGAAATCTCCTTGTGCTCTGTCTCTTCCAGCATGCCTTCTCCGGTTCGGAATCATCTCGCCTTCGGACTCCGATTGTTCCACTGACCGAGCATGATCAATTTCTTCTTCCGAATCAGTCATCTCAGGTGCCCGATCGTTCCGTTGACGCTCTCCATCTACCATGAACCCACATCTCGCTGCCTGTCCCATGACCGGACCTGCTATTCGAGCGGCTTGGTTCCTGTCAAGACGAGCATTGATCAACCTCAACTCCCGGCGCATTTCCCCGAAGAAACGATGCATATCTGCCGCCATTTCTTCCGTCCGTCTCACCAGATTGGTGTGTCCGGCCCAAAGTTCTCCCAGGCTGTGTTCATCACCGGTAGCCACCCGATTACTTCCTTCTGCCATCCTTGCTCTGATACCAATATGATGCCGAAGCTCCGCAGAAGCTCCTCCGACGATCACCGAATACCTGCAATGGATGAAAAACAGAAGGAAACAACAATTGCAAGAAACAATGGAACAGTAGCAAACTTTCTATAATATTCTTCAATGCTTCTCCTTCCGTCACACAGCTATTTCTATCTTCTTGGCTTTACTACTAACAGCCCTACACATGAAAAGTACTGAAAGCAAAACAACTAACTAAAGAAAGAGTATAGTGGAGCACATGCCCACTAACGAACTAAGCAGTAAATAGCATAACAAATATTAATAAAGAAAAGGGTAATTAGTTAGGACGCCACTCATCTGGGCTGCACTCAAGGCTTGTATGAGTATGCTCTGCATCATCAAACCCATTACTTTATGTGGGAGCAAAGCTTCCATCCACTAAGGTTTCGTTTGGGACGATTTTTTGCTGCTTTTTAAAACAGCTTTTTAGTAAAAAATTAAAAATTTTGTACTAAAAAGTTATTTCAAAAAATAGTAAAAAATTGTCCCAAATGAAATCTATGTCAAGGCGGACAGAATATTATGTAAAGGTGTTAGGAAACTATCATTTCGGACTGACTTCTATATAAATGATTTCATTGCTGTAATAGTGACGACTTTAGAACTGTTGATGAGTCGTATAGAATATGATTCCTATCAGCTTTATTGACACATTTTTATTTATATTTTTTTCTACATCAGTATTTTCTGCCAATATCTTTATGAACGAATTTGTTTAAAAAAAAAAACAACTTGAAGCATGTAATTTGAGCTTTAGGACCACTTTTTCTAGAGTGGAACTTGCAGTGACTTTGTTATTTTGCTGGCCTACCTGTCAGGGACCCAGCTTTTCTATTATTGAAGTTCCCTTCGTTTCTATTCCACTCCTCCAAATATCAATGTCTAATACAAATTTTCTTCATTACTATTCTTGGAATTATGCCGCCATTATCCAACTTTTATTCCAAAAGTCCTCTAAGTCCTCCCTCACCCACCGAGGCTTAGGGTGGTTGGTGTGCGAGCACGGTTGAAAACACTCCATCTCGGGTTCGAATCCCCTCTACTACGGCCTCCCCTCTTCAGTGTGGGACCGATGCAAGTGGGTGGTCTCGCTAGGTTCCGCCGAGGGATTAGTTGTGCCGCTAAACGTTCCCTTTGAAGTGACAGCGGATAGATACCTTCGTTAAAAAAAAAAAAGTCCTCCCTCAGACCTTTGGTTCTATATTTCTATATTTTTATTTGTCTGATTATCTAATAATCCTGCCGATTATTCCAAGTTGTTTTCTCTCATTTTCAAAGAACTTTTCTGGCCTTTTTTTATTTGTCTTATTTATTATGGCTATTTTGATCATTTGATTACTCATCATATTTCAAGAGCAGCTTGATTGCATGGAGTTATCAATGTAATATATTGTCTTCAGAGCTGTTGTATTCTCATAAAGCTGAATTGACATCTTTTGTGAAGTTTGGTTACATATATTAAAGAATAATGTTCTGTTTGCATCAGTAGTCATGAAATCGTTTCAATCACATATTTATGATTAATTATTCTGTGTGGATATCGAACGTCATCATCTGGAGACCAACCAGAATATGCCATGTTACCCCTTGCTCGATATCGCGGCTTGGTATTGCTGATGTGGTGCATTCTGGTTGGTTTCCGGACGGCGCTCTGTATCCGCTCTCCGTTCATAATAATTTCCCCATATTTAGCAACTGAATTTAAGCTTGATTGGCATGGTGTGACTAATGACCAACTTGATGTAAGATGTTTCACCTGCAACTAAAATGCTTTTCTCGTTTAATATAAAGTGATTACATTATAGAGGTTGTTAAGTCCTATATATTTAGAAAGAATTTGATTAAAAAAATAAAGATTTGCCTGATTTGGGCAGTTACATAACAGAGCTAAGTTAACTTAATGATTGGGTTTAATGAATGAATGTGAAGACTACATAAAAAGTATGATATAATAATTGTAATTTGGTTAGAAATTATTGAGTGAAGGATGCAAATATTAGAGTTTGTTCTAACTAATTTGAATGAATGAATACTGATGATGAAAAACCACTCTGAAATTTCAAGAAATGTATTAGTTGCAACCTGCTGCTTATTAGTACCTTGAAAAATAAGAGTAGTGATTGTGTGGAATGCTAATTATGCAAAACAGTTACTTGGTTCTATGATAAACCTACTTACACCCACTATTAGAAGATATTAGGCCCTTAAAATATTAGAATGATATGATTCTCACATGATATCTTCATAGAGTATTTTTTATAGAATATGCCCATGTGTAGAGATTAATATATCATTAGAATATTCATTCAATCATGCATAGATTTTGATGTAATTATTTAGATCTCATAGCACCTCAAATATTGAAATCATAAATTTATAGAGTGAATTATAATGAATTTATAGTTATTAGAGTCTCAGTTAGATAATGACTGCTAACTTTTATGTTGGGGTTTGAGTGATTGATGTTGACACTTGTCGTTGTTTACTGTTGAGAGTTGATGTATGTCGAAAATGATTAGATTGAATAGAAGGTTAAGTTAGAAAGTTGTTTTAGAAATCAGCAAAAAAGTTATCTCAAACAAAGCCTTTATATTTCTAATAGTTTGCAATGTTTGTTTGGTACAAATATCATGGTTTAAAAAATTGAATAGAAGGTAAATTAATTGTTTATGTTGGGTAAGGCTTCATTTGTGGCATCTTTCTAAAGCTACGTTCTAGTATAAAAATTTTTCATTCAAAAATCTATGTACTAAAATGCTGCTTTAGAAAGCTGTCTCAAGCAAAGCCTAAGACTTCGTTTGGGACGGATTTCTTGCTGCTTCTTAAAGCAGTTTTCTAGTAGAACAATTTTAATTTTTTAACTAGAAAACTGCTTTAAGAAGCAGTAGTAAAGCCATTCAAAATAAAGCCTAAGGCTTCGTTTGGGACGGCTTTTTTATTGCTTTTTAAAGCAGTTTCATAGTGTAAAAAATTTAATTTTTGTATTAGGAAGCTGCTTTAGGAAGCAGAAAGAAAGTCGTCCCAAACGAAGCCTGAGTGTCAATTGTCAATTAAAAAAGAATTTTGATTGTGGTGTCCTCTTCCATCATCTGCATAGTTGTGTTTGGTTTGAAGGTTATATCGAGCAGAATCTGAGCGAGCATGTTTCTACCAAAAATTGAACATTTTGATTTCAACTTGAATTAAATTCAATTTGTGCCAATATTATTTGATTTCAAACTATATTTTTTTAATAATTCATTAAATAAAGACACATACATGTATCACCTTAGGTGCAATATGTGTTATATAATTTTGAGTTGAATTTAATTTATTTTGAATGTGTTATGTTAACTTGGAATGAACTGATTTTTGTTTTCAAGTTAATTTAAATTAAAATAATTATTAAGGGAGTTTTTAACTTCTTACATAATTATTAGCCTGAATATCGTGTAAATATAATAATTT